TGAAGTGTGTTTCAGATTGCTATCATTTGAGCGGTTCATTTACAGACTTCTGCAGGTTGGCACCCAAAATGCCTTTATACACTTTTGAGTTCAAGATTCCAACAATGAATACAAGCTCACCAACAACATTGTACACTGTCAAAAAAAGGTACTGTCTTGGTAAATTTTAGTCCTCTAAGGTACAAACAATAGACTTACCCTGAAAGGTACAACATGGTCCTTAAGGTCCAATTGTGGACTTTAAATAAGTTACACTATAGTCATGTTTCCAGGAGAGAGAAGCATATTGCATTTTCATATTTAAGTAAAATAAAAACACAAAATAAAAAGCTTGGAAAAAATCAACTGCAGAATAGCATACAATTATGTTCCCTAGTTAAAGGTACTGTGTTACCACCAGAGTGACAGCATTTGTACCCTGAAAGGTACCCTTTTTTCCTGAACGTATGAAAAAAGCCAGAGACTTTGACGCTCCACCTCTGTGCTGTACAGCACTCTATTTGCATTGGAATTTTTTTCCACACAAACGTATTTGTCAATATGATTTCGAAAAAATAATATAATTTGGTTAAACATTTGATGGTGTACTCTCAAAAGAACGTCATTAAAGTTTACCAATGATTAAAGTGTACAAATACTTTTTTGGCCACTCTACATATACACTGAGCTGATTCATCATGTTATTTAACTTGTACTGTACTTAAACTGTACTACAGACAAAATGAACTTCGTGGAAATAGTTTATATTTCACAGTTTAACATCAGCTGTAATTACAGCAGATTCAGCATTCCTTAACCAGCTGCCATACGAATTTACACTATGAAAAAACTAGTAAATGCACCAATAATAATAGTGCAAATTGCACTGAGTAATGTCAAAACTAATACCTCTGCAAGCATGTAGCCATCAGTATTTAATGCAAAAGTTTGGGCACCTGTGGTCAAATAATATGTTTAGTCAATTTTTTAAGTGGAAATAAGTTAACACATCCTCTACAGAGAACACACTTCTGCATAGTTACTGGTTTTTGCAGAAATGTAACATGTCGCCTGTGCAAAAGTTATGGCACATTTTTTATTTTATATTCTATTTTTTTCTAATATGTTTAACTCAAATAAATAGAAAGTATGCACTAAAATTTGCAGAAAGAAAATGACAAAGGTTATGCCGTATTTTCGCATAGACGGTCAGCAAAACATGTAACTTTAAAAGGGGGTATTCAAGTTTGCATATGACTGCATATCTATGGGGGACCTAAATACATTTTTGCTTAAATAACACCAATAAAACTTTTCGTATGTCAGTGAGTGGTGAAAACAGGAAAGATAGAGACAAAATGAAGATGGAGAGGGCGTGAAAGCGCCCAAATGGTACACAGGTGTTGTTACAATCACAAACTTGCTGTTTATTTAGTGCTTTTATACATTTGAAAAGAGATGGGCCAGAAGGGGGAGCTATCTCTGAAATAACAAGAGCTCTAGTCATAAATGCCATTCAGTACCAACTTTAATCTGATTCTAACCTGTGATTATAATTTATTAGAAGCTCAGTGTGTCTGTACTTTGAAAAATAAATATTTTACTCTTTCTCTCAAAAAAGACTAATTTGGTTTTGTTTCTCACATTAAATTCCGTTTGTCAGTGAAAGTCCTTTTCCTCTCCTCAAGCATCTCAGTAAATATTTACATTATTCTGTCAGTGTCTACTTGGCTGAGAGGGCTGCTGTTTATCTCCTGTTTATTTTAAATTAAACACGAGTTATGTAACCTTCTGTAATTTTCCCACATCAGGAAATTAAAATACACAACACATCCTCTGGATAGACAGCCTGGGGTCTTGAGGGCTCATCTTTCATCCTGTTTGTTTAATCCTTATTTTTTTAAATTGCTCTCTCCTGGGTTTAACTTCAGAATGAGCAGAGAAACTTAAGGAAGCTCCTTCTGTTTACATAAAGCTACAATAAAAATTTTATTACATGACAATTAAATTCGATCTGAAGCACTAATGAGGCTTTATGTAACACTATCTGAGCCAGAGTAAGAAGTTTATGTGCAAAAATCCTATTTACAAATTCTAATACATATTTAATTAAAACTCTGGAGCAATAATCTGTGCAGAACATTACCTGAACCAGAGGAAGAACTGCACCGAAAACAATAGCTTCAATTAGCTTGAAAATAACTTTAATGCTTTGAATGGACATGATCCGAATATGATTTAAATATGTACATCGGATGCACATGAATAAAATGCATTGACACAGTTCTTGCTTAAATAAGTAAACAGAAAGACAACATCTCCGTTGATGCATCAGCACTGCCTTACAACTTGCTGGCTCTCAGATTTGCTTAGCTATTATTAATTTCTTCCTGGTCTTATGATATTTCATGCTAGAGTTTTGCATTCTTTTCAAAGGTCGGCAAAGGTTTACATGAAAACATCTGTCCATCGTCATATAGTTGTACATATTTCAGCAGGCAGACCTCAGAGAGATCTGGACATCCTAAACTCCTGAATGGCCGAGGCCACAGGAAGCCTGTTTCCTGGCCCAAAGGGCCACTTCCTGAAACACACGAAGCTATTTTTAGTAGCTCAGAGTTTTTTAACACAGCAGCTACAGGCTTTACAGACTTATGGAGGTGAGGGAAATGATTTTGGTGTGAAATGCAACTGAGGCAAATGAATGCCTCCCTGAAATGCATGGACAAAGCTTATTTGTTATCTCTCCCTCTCTCTCTCTCTCACACACACACACACCACACACACACAGACACATGGAGATGTGCACGTACACATGCACACACAAAGTCATAAACTGTGTCATGTCATGGCTCTCTGCCCATATCCTTGAATGATATTACAGGTCAACTTAGAGCAGAGAGACACACACACACAAAGGAAATCTCACCATCAGCAGTAGCCACAAACACGAGTTAGTTCGCTCTGTGAAAAGATCTGCCTTAAAAAATATGTAAAAAGATTCCATTCCTACACTTTACTGTAGGGTAGTGTTCATTAGGCTACATGACATGTACATAACCAGAAAACCTACATAAACATTTTTAAAGGCTTTTTCCAATAGACGTCATCAAAGGCTGCTAAAGCTGACAAAACACCTTTGTCAGCTGACTGTTTTTTTTCCTGCCATTGGGTTGTGTCCTGACACTTTTAGGTGAAATGATACAGCATATTATAACTTATATTTTATCTTTGTAACACACACTATTCAAGCTGTTTTAGTTTTACTAGAGGAGAGCCAGTAACATAATTTGTAAAGGACTCAAATGGCCGATTCATACGGGATAAAGTATTTGTGTTATTTCCCCAAACTGCCCCACACAGCCTGGATTGAAATGTCATAGCCTAGACGTTCACTTCAGGGTTAAGATTAGAATTAAACAGATCCAAATAAATAAACAACAAAGGCGAACTTTCAGTTAACACCACATAGAGTAGCCTTAGGCTTAACAAATGTCACCCAACAGGTCAGAAATCATCAATCGCTCTGCACGGTGAGAGGTAGCTTCGGATATTTCATTTCATTCTTCTTCTAATTAGCTCATCACCAAAAATGTTTTCAATTACAGTTGTCCAGTTTTGAAATGGAGGATAAAGGAATAGGTGCCAAGAGATCTGTTTTACTTAGCCTCATCTGCTAAGTACGTCTCACCAAAAACCAGAGGTGCCAGGTTCTATTATTAGGCCTTGTGAGGTCGATTCGAACAGGACTCTTATTACTGAAGGAGCTCTGGGTTTGACGAATTCTAGAAGGTAGTTCACTAAGGAATTATTACTTAAAAGGCTTAGCAAAAACTATAGACATGGCAGATAATTACTCAAATTACAGCACCTCAATGTCTAATCCAGATGTTATAGGGCTTTAGTATATAAGCAACATAACACCGATGATGTGATCTTGTAAATGGCAAACTGAAACTCATTTTACCTAAGGGCCGCAGTACATGCCTGACTTTGCAAGCTACGTCATACTGTCAGCAATGTCACTGTGATGTACACTGAGCTAGAATGTCATTGTCATTTGACCCCAGAAAGTGTCATGACAACGTAATGTTAAAAAAAATAAAAATAAATAAAAAAATATCAGTGTCACCTGACATAGATGTTACGTCATCCTGTACTGTCTACTGGCATTTTTCTACATTTTATTTCTTTTTTGCACATTTTATTTCTTTAACAATATTGGCTGTTAGAATACTGTATCAACCAAATACTGCATTCTGTTGCTGCTGTTCTGGCTGCCACCTCAGTGACTGCTATGCTCATAAATGCTAGGCTATCTGCTAATACGTCATAGTGGGTTACATCCTGCTTTGCACAACTCTGCATATTCTCAGTAACATGTACTATCTGTGCCATGTTTTGTATTTATTGTAAGGCTTTTGTATTTATTGCACTGTATTATCTGCACTGTGTTGGAGTAGCACTTGTGTCCCTCTGTTGCACCAACGTTGTTTTGTTTCACTGTGTACTTGTATATAGCTGAAATGACAATAAAGCCACTTGAACTTGAACTTGGACAAAGCTGGCAAATGCAAACTTTAGAACAATTGGAGCCTTTTGGAATAAGTGTTTAGAAAAGGTCTATATCAGTTGTCATAAATGGCTTACGTAGGTGTCATCTGTCTTTATGAACCCAGCCACATACCAAACACCTTTATGTCATCATGGCAAATAAGTTTTCTTAATATAGTTCAGTTGGTTAAAATTTGTTTCTATGACCATACACTCAAAAGAAGTAATACACTGAACTAACAACAAATTACATCACATTCAACAAATTATATTACATCATCATAATTTAGTCATTCTGTTGACTTATTTTTGCCTATTATTGTGTTGCTATAATTTATTGATGTGGAAATAGTGTGCACATTTAAAACAGGCTAATCAAACGTACCACAGCTTTTTAACTGTAGATTAAGTACTTTTATGCTTTTATTTGCTCTCAGTGTGGGGGTTGACAGGTGAGTTTAGTTTACCTTGCTGTGTCCTTGAGAGCAGGTGCTGTGCACTGGGCTGAGGACTGTGGCTCATGTGGGAAAAGTCATACATACTCTTCACTGAAAGAATAAAAAACAAACCCTTGTTAATTCATATATACACAAAACCTAAGACGTGTTGTTTACACTGTAAGACAAACAGTCGTATGCAAAAGCTCAAACACCCCCAGTCAAATCGCATTGTTTTGATGATTCGCTGAGTGAAAATAAGCTAAAACATTCTCTACAGGGAACAAACTTAAAGATGGCACTTTTTTTCATTTTCTACAGTTTATATTTATTTGCTGAATTAACATAGTGGAAAAAAATAAAACATAACATATTAAATATGCCATAACTTTTGTACATGGCACATTTGATGTTTTCCCCCATAAAATGTTAAATTCAGCAAATTAACAGTAAAATGTCCAGAAATGTGTTCCCTGTAGAGGACGTGTTAACTTATTATCATTTAGAAAATCAATAAAACATGTAATTTGAACACAGGCACACAAACTTTTGTATCATCTATTAGCTTTACAAATTGATTTTAAAGCCATACATCATTATAATATAAGTGTATTTTTCAAAGACATAGAGGAGTTTTTGACCTCGTTGTTTACAAACAATTTTACCATAAACAGAGACTGTTAACAAAGCAATTTAAATTACCATTTCTCATTTTTTGCTTTCAGGCTCTGCCTATGCATTTGAGGTACACAAAAAATTCCAACATCATCCTTCACATTTACAATCACAAAAAACAAAAAGGAGCCAATTGAAATAAAAATCTAAGCGATGAAATAGAAGAACCACTTTTAGTTCCCTAAAGAGCCTTTCAATGCATGGTTCTTTAAAAAAAACAGGTTTGTAAATAAGATGTTTGAAGAACCTTTGTAAGGTTTAAATAACCTATATATCCATATATAATAACTAATTTAAAGAATTCATATATCACCATAACATACACCATATTATTGATGGCTTGAAGTGTCTAGTGTTTTCATACACAAAGCTTAAAATTGAATATAATTAATAGTGGCAAAGTAACGTTTCAACTGCAGCAGCTTCAGAATTTCTAGACACTCAGTGATACACTCAATAAACCTACACAGACATGCCTTCAAAGAAAATTTCTTCAGAGTAAAAAATAAGAGGAAAAACTTCTCAGAACGCTCATGTTCAAATAATTCATGCAAAGAGACAAAGCCAGTAAGACTTACCATAAGGCGTAGGAGGTGACACTGGAAATGCAGGTGTTGATGGAGGCTGATTAAGGTCCACCCATAAAGATCTGTCAGTCTGTGGAGTGAATTCTTCATAGTCCACAGTGTCACCACCATAAAGACCCCCATACTGATGAACAAATATGCACACATGTTTTTATACACTGTCAGGATTAGGGATGTGCACGGATTCATTCAAGGTGCCAGAACTCAAATACTGAGATGACGGTTCGGCTATTTGTTATGTTTCATCACAGGAAGATAAAGAAAGACCAATAAATCAGTGCAATGCCAATTTTATGTCTTAACAGGACTGTAAAATGTGACAAATGTATTCGTATTTGCGAGTAATTAAGTGTATTATACTACAACTTTGCTTAAACTTTGCTATGCCTTTGCTATGTCTAAGGTTTGTCAAGGACATTTTCAGTCACAATGAGACTGAATCACTGTATCACTACCTAGGCATCCAGCATTGTTTTTTTAAGTACAATGCTCTACCTGCTTCTAAGCTTTTGTGCAACACCAGTGCTTTAAAAAGGAAAGCCTACAGTTCTGCATTAATTTTAGCTGAAGTCAAGTATTTGGTGATGGTTTTTGCAAAATTAGTTAGAAAGCACATCCCTAGTCAGAATGAGGGAGCACACATTTTGTTGCTGTCCAAGGAAAAACATGTATCTCCATGCCGATTTATATTGTTCTACATAATTTGAACATGGCAGCTGTCCTTTACACTATGTGAAAAATTATGATAAATAGACGAATAGAAATGCTCCAAAATCACTTGGAATAAAATGACTTCACATGAATTGACAGTAAAAGTTAAGAATGTTTTGCCTTCTCCTGTAAAGTTACTATTTTGGAGATAATTGTTTTTCTTTGGACAAAGAAATGAATTATATATATATATATATATATATATATATATATATATATATATATATATATATATATATATATATATATAGTTACCTATATGTAATAACAATGTTCTAACCATAAAACTAACACTAAAGATAATGTAATGTAAAAAATATAAAACACATGGATGTGAAATTATTCAGATGGTTTGTCAAAGAATCAGAATCACACAGCATGGTGTGTGTGTGTGTGTGTGTGTGTGTGTGTGTGTGTACTGCACCTGGGACGGTTTGGAGAAAGCAGGCTTGGGTAATGCCTGTAACAGATCACCAGCAGGACTCCTGTATGCAGACTGGTTAGTGACATCACTAATCTGCCTACTGTCTATGCCTGAGAGACAGAGAGAGAGAGAGAGAGAGAGAGAGAGAGAGAGAGAGAGAGAGAGAGAGAGAGAGAAAGAGACAGAGAGAGAGAGAGAGAGAGAGAGAGAGAGAGAGAGAGAGAGAGAGAGAGAGAGAGAGAGAGAAAGAGAGAATTTTAATACCCATTACCCATGTCATGAATTCCAGAGTCTACACTGATTGTAAGTTCCAGTAACAAACTGCCTCTTTATAGTAAAATCCCAAAGACCATCATGATCTGAGAACTGATTTTTAAGCTTTTTAACTTGACTTGGACATTTTTCTCATAGCAGTATGATAGCATGAGTAATACAATCTTTGTTTCATTGGGAAAAATTTCTAGCATGGTCATCATTTTTCCACTGAGCTCTGATATTCTTTTCAGGACAGAGCTGTTTTACTGGTGTTCAACAGTCATCCACAGTCTTTATCCAGGAGCACTCCTGCACTGCACATATAGCTTAATTGGCGGATAAGCTGAATCAGATGTGTTGGAGCAGGGAAAACCCTAAAATGTGCAGCAGGAGTCCCAGGATCAGGACTGGAAAACACTGGTTTACATAGATTGAGCAACTTAGTACTAAAGTAACATCTTTTGGGACAGATGCTCACAGAAATATGTCTCGTCCAGAAATGTACAGAACAGGTTCTACATTCTAAAACAGCATCATCATGTCAGTAGACTGACCTCAAATCTAACTCTGGCACACTGTGTCTAGTTTTACAATGTCACAAAGATAACTAGCAGTATATAGCATTTGACACATAGGTTAATTGTAAAATCACTGTAATGCATGGTCTCAAGTGACATATTGGTGAAAAAAACATTATTAAAAAGTATGCCAATGTTCAATAAAATTAATAATAAATAAATAAAATAATAAAATAAATGATAATAAACAATTCTTCCACCAAGCACTATACTTAGAATAGTAGTAATAGTAGACCATGGTAATAATAGTAGGCTACGGCAAGCAAAAGTAATAGTAGACTACAGCCAAGCAAAATAGCTATTATTTAGTTATTAATAACCCGCCATATAATACAAAACACACAGTGGAGTAACAGTGAATGAGTGATATGAGGAGATAATACCATTGAGGAAAAGGGGACAAATGAGAAATTTAACGATAAGGAGAGTAATTAGAAAAATTAAGATATTAAGCCAGGACCATAAAACAGATTCTTGTGTTGATTGGCAACCATAGCCTACAACATTTTACAACATTGTCAGGGGTTCATTGCAGTTGTTATTAGGAACAAATGAAATTATATATGGAACATATGCTGTGATTTCTCACAGAGCGTGTTTTAAGTAATAAACCACTCAAGGCTGAGCATTACAGTGTTTTACACTTTGCGTCGTGGCATCCCTTAACTGTGATAAACCATGGCAACTTGTTGATTATTGCTTTATTCTAAACACATCAGAGTCTGATAGCCTCTGTCTGTACAGTAACAATGGACGGTAACTAAGATCTTGTGATATAATACAGGTGCATTACAGATAAACATTGATTTTTATGGTCCAGATCCTCTAAAGTCATGAACATGATGTGATGCATTCAGCGTTTTAGAAGTTCATACCACCATAACACTCCACTGACAGTGACACAAAGAGGTGAAGAAAAGTAAGTCTGCAAGGTATCTTTTACTTCAAATGCATTCCTGAGCTCTTACACAATACGCCTTCAAACGCACATACACATAACAGGATGTGTGCCAGAGGACATGTTACAGTAATGATATGCTGCGTATTTCAGTCAGGAGTCTTTTTCTCTCAGTCATCTATATGTGAGTGTGAGAATCAGTCACTGAAGAAGGGAAAATCCCAGACATCCTTTAAAAAGAACCCCTCCATTATAACAACTAAGATCATTGCACTGATACTAAATGTGTGACTTTATGCAAATGTATGAACGTCACTGGTCAAATTTTGTAGGTGTTATAAGTGAAAATAAGTTAACACATCCTCTACAGAGAACACACTTCTGCACATTTTAATGCATGATTATTTGCTGTTTATATGCTGAATTTAACATTGTGTAAAAAAAAATATAAGCATGCAACTTTTTACCCACTATGTTAAATTCAGTAAATAAATAAAAATTGTGCACTAAAATTTGAAGAAAATGCAAGTTAAGTTTGTTCTCTGTACAGGATGTGTTAACTTACATTCACTTAGAAAAACAACAAAACTAGTACCTACCCTGGGGTCTTCAAACTTTTGATTCAACTAATATGTGCAGATATAACCTGTGTGTTTTTAAGCCTTAAAATTGTGCTGCAGGCACAATTAACATTTAACTGAAGTTAAACTGATAGGAAGTTTTGGAGAACGTGGCTTTGTTCCAGTGAATCACTTACTGTACTTTTCTTCAAAGTTAAACTATTACTCAGCAAAACTGCACCATGTTTGTAGTTACAGCTGTCTCTCAAAATATGGACTATAGTTGGACCGGATACCTCCTAAAAATAGGTGCTTTATGTCATTCAAATATGACAATGAAAAATAAAAAAAAACTGATAAAGCAGCTAACAGGCTTCCTACTTTAGAAAAACACGGCGCCTAAATAAGCCTCTTAACACGCTTTTTCATGAATATGGCATTTTTGTTTTGGTAGATGTCAAGACTTTTGCAAATGTTTAGCAAAGATTAGAAATTGTGAAGGGGAACGAAACAATACTTCTCACAGAACGTAACAGAAAACAAGAACAAAATCATATTTAGCTGTTCCAAAGTGAAAACTATTTAAAATGGGTTATTAATGGGTTCTGAACGTTGTTATTCTTCATAGAATTCTGAATTATGACTACAATTAATCGCTTTTCTCATACATGCTTGCTTTCCATAGTGCTTCATCTCATTTCAGCAGTGCTGCTCTGTGAGCTGCATTAACAAAGTATCCTCAAAAATGATTTTGCCATTGTATCTAATTACAGTTGAGTCATTAGCTAATTACAGCTAAAGCCAGGTTTGGGCTAATGCTAGGTTACTTTGCTGTCTGATTATCTTCTTTCTCATCAGGCTCATGAGTAACCTGTAGCAAGTGCAGCTTAAATGAATAACTCCTAACCTAATGTTGTCCACTGAAAAAAGGGATGAATTTACTCAGTTCAAATGCATCATTACCACATGAAAAACACAGTTTGTCAGCACATCAGCACAATTTTGTCTTTCAGTTTTAGTTACAACTGGCAATAATTGTGTTGATGTAATGTAGAAATTATTCATGTATTTGCAGAGTAAATTTAACGCATCACTTTTACATTATTTCAATAATGTAGGCCTAATAAGCATTTGTGTTTTATCTACATTTTTCGTGCATGTTTACCTTATGTCCACAGACATGCATTCATTTTGCAGCGCAGAGAGAAAAGACCAATATGGTGGCAAAGTGGCTTTACTTTGCTAATTATGTCATCAACTAGTCTCTAATTTATATCTATGACTACAACAGCAGCTCTAATGCTGAAATTATATTTTATTGATTGAAGTAATGTAACCCATTACAGTTTAAATTCTTGTAATCTTGTAAAATACACCACCTGCATCAGCTGACTGCATGATTTCAACTATGAATATGAGCAGCACAAGCATGCAGGCCAAAACTTTGCACTGCTGTAAGACCAACAATTAGTTAAGGCATTATATTCCTATGAAACTAATGATTAAAAATCTTTGTGCTGAAGAAAAAGAGCTGCAACCTTACCTAAACAGGCCATATGGCTTTGCGACGTTTACAATGCAACACACTGGGTAGGTTTCAAGAACTGTGTTTATGATAGGAAAGAGCTGTTTGACTGATGTGCAAATTGGCCAGTCATAGAATGTTTAGTGCAATGTGACTGGCAAAAGGTAAAGTGGAGTAGGAGTTAGCAAAATTGGTACCTACTGTTTCAAACAAAATTCAAGAATACAGGATAGCATAAATGTTTTCTGGTTCTGCTGCTATATCTATATAGCTATATAGCTCTGAAAGGCTTATTTACAAATATGCACCTGCTTCCTACTAGCACTGAGCTTGATAAACAATCATTTCATGTTTATCGCAAGTTCATGGCAGCATGAACAGGCAGAGCCAGATTACATTCTCTGTGGTAGGTGAGGTTCTGAAAGCTGTGGTGATTTTAGCATGCAGCTTACTTCAGACAGTCGTTGTACCTCTATGGGCAGAGTGCATGAGGCTGAAACTTCTCACACTTAAAACCACAGCCTCTGCTGCCCAAGCCTCTAGCAAGCTACTAACAAAATACTTTTCAGTGACATCTGTTTTTTTGTTTTTTTAATAATGCAATGATGATTAGTTTCCTAGTAAGAATTAATAGTCATGCAACCCATGATTTGTAATGATTTAGGTTTTTTGACCTCAACAAGGGTCACCACACTACACAATGAATACACAAAGGAATCTTGTGAATCCAGGAATGAAGCTCCAGGAACATTTCCACTGAATTTCTAAGGTGTTAGCAGCTTCAAGCTCATGGGGATGCTGAGAATGTGATGAATTTCAGTCATATGGAAAGTGCGTATTCCTTCCAGTATATGTAGCACAGGTAATTGAGACGAACATGTTATTTCGACACGGTAAACAATGGTACTATGTCAAGTTTAAACAAAAAGAATGTCATACATAGACTTCACAAAACACTCTGGATCTGGATGTTTACACACCCAAATATGCATGCATGTGAGTGCACACACACACACACACACACGCACACTTACACAATTAAGCACATGCATACACACGCGTGCACACACTTCTGCTTACTCAGAGTCGCTTGCAGCACACACAAATGTGAGGGAGTTTATTTTGCTTAGCTCTACCTGCTCAAGGCACCACATAGAGGCCCATTATATATGTGCGTGTGTGCAGCCATAACTTAAGTCCGTCCCAGCCAACATAAGCTTTCCGCACGAGTTAAAAAAGCACAGAGTGAGGCTCCCTATTTCGAGCACATTCAAATGTCTAGTGGGGTTTTTGAAGTTCCAAGTATTTGGTCAACAGGACTACATTCACTGTTTCCACTGTCCCAAAGAAGTCCAGCAGTTTCCAGTAAAACTCAATGAAGGCCTAAAAATGTCCAGAAGCTCCACTCGGCATAAAATTAGTACAATAAACAGTTTAGCGTTACAGTCAAGAGCAGTACATTTCTGAAGTCAGTTTCATTCATAAAGTACTGTGCAAAGGTTGTTCATATTTTAGGACATATTTCTGAGGATATTAGATATAAAATAATCCACTTGCACAAGGAAGGGGAAGGTCAAATGAAAAATGAATGAGTTTCCAAAGCTGGAGCTCAAAATATTTTTGAAAGATACAGAGAAAATGGGACTTCCAACAACTGTGCAAGATCTGATAGACCACCAAAACTGTTACCACCAGATAAACAGCACTTAAAGCTTTCACCTTTAAGAGAGAAAATCAAGCTCCACTATTGCTTCAGATCTGAAAAAATCCACAAGACTTTTTTTTGTCGATCATTCCACTGTGAGAAGACAACTCAGTGCTATGGGTCTGAAAGGATGCGTAGCTGTCAAGAAGCCATTACTGAGAAAACAGACCAAAAAAAGCAAATCTGCAAATCAATAGAGAAGCTGCTGGTGTCCTCAGAACAATTGACTGACCACCCCAGAGTCTAGACCTCAACATCACTGAATGTGTTTAGGTTTATTTGGATCGTGAGCAGAAAATCCAACCGACTTATAAGACTGAACTTTAAAGGTGTGGAAAAATATGCAGATTTCTTTAAAAAATGGAAAGAAAGTCTCCTGAAAAGAATGTGGTGCTGTAATAAAGGTAAAGGGTGGACATACTAAATCATGAAAAATATGATATTATATTTAGTTGTCGATATTATATTGAGATGTTGTTGTGATTTTCTGTTACTGCTGTTGTCCAAAATCTTAATTTAAGATTAGAATTACACTGCTAACTGTATTGTTAGTGAAATAAGTAATACAATTATCTTATGTACAGAGTTTATCATCTACAAACAATAAATAAATAAATAAATAAATAACTGTGTATGTAAACTCTGTCACCAGCACATTAGCCCTTGTACTTTGTATGCCGAAGTATTCAGCTTGAGCGTTTAATAATAGTCTACAAGGTCGTGCAAGGTACTGTACACTAACTGTTTAAATATTGGTGCAAAATAACTGTTTTGACGTTCATGTCTTTTCACTCTCTGTGTTGTTGGGAAAGAACTAACTCAAAAGCAGCTTTGAGGCAGGAATTGCTCCTACATGCACATGCATATAAAAGACTGAGGACTAATGTGCCTTGAGAGACCTGCACTGAAAGATGCATAGCTTGTCAATGCTTCAAACAAATGTGCAAAAAACATTAGTGTGCATTTGTGAGGCCATGTAGCTGAGAGAAAATGCAGGAACAAGCCATTTGTCTTTAAACAGCAATGTTCAACACCATTCTAACACTTCAAAAGTAGTTTTACTTTTCAGTTTACATATTTGCTGGCACCTTCAGCTGCTAAAGTGTGCTTAAACATGCCTGGAACAAATGCTGAGCAGTATTGATAAAATGCAAGATATTAAATGTCATAACATTTTTTTATTTCAGTTTCTGTATTTGCTTGCACCTTCAGTAGCTAAAATCTGCTTGAACATGCCCAGAACAAATGCTGGGCAGTCTTGATAAAATGCAAGATATTAAACATCACAACATTATACCTGTATATTGCAGTATCAATGTTAAAGTTAGCAATTAAGTTAATGAGGAAATGCTTGCAAAGTATTGCTACTCTTTCCTCTTATTTGGGTAACCATGTGGAAAATAACTGATGTAAATGGCCAAAACCAAAACGTATTGGTTGCCCTTTTTTTAATGAAATAATAACAATATCTGTACTTGTCATCTGGTAACTTTGAGATGTTTAACTCTCTTAACTGTCACCAAGCATGGGCCTAATGTCTTACAAACCTGACATAGCTTGTTTTGATTGGACTGTTTTGTTGTTTCCTTTGCTTATAATTACACCAAATGAAACCTTGCACAGTATTGTGAATGCTAACCAAACAGAACACAGTTTCAGAAACAGAACTTAGTATTTGTTCAGTTTTTATGAATTTTAAAATAATAGCATATATGCTGCAGTTAAATGTTTGGTCCTAGATACCATGTGTGAAGTGCAAAAATAGAACTAAATAGCACTAAAAACAAACTGCTTTGGCAAAGCAGGAAGTTACTACTTCTATCATTCTAACATCTTATAGTAAAAATCAGTATCACAGCGTGACACTAATATGGATACTACTACTGACAATCCATCATGCAGCATTACCTGGTCCTGAAAAATCTTACCTGATTGGTTGGATTTTGCTTGTCCAGCTGAATGGGCAATTCCATTGGTGTGCAGAGAGGCTGAACGAATTATGTGACCTCTGGCACGTGTGGGCACTGGTTCAAACTCAGGGTCCAGGTCTAGGATCAGTTGGTTGAGCTGCTCAATTGACTGGTCAATATCCAAGGCGAGGGAGGCAAACTCATCATCCTTCTCTGCCTCTGATTCCTTCTCCAGAGCATCACTAGTGCTATGTATTGTGGAGTTGTTCCCCCTGCTTTCATTGAGCCCCACCCCCACTTTCTGTTCCAATCTGTCTGAGGAGGGGTACATGTAGGTATCAGCAGTGACTAGCTGTTGTTGCCTGACCCAAATGTGTGTCTGAAAGCCGCTGGGAACTGAGCTGTGTGGGTGAATCCGTGTAGAGTTTACTCCATGACTGTACACTTCATTTGAGGCTGGGCAGACCCCATCACCAACACCTACTGATCCAGCCAATGATAAAGAAGGAAGCTCATGGTCTGCTTCTTTAGAGTCTGGCGCTGTAGCAGCACTGCCATTAGCAGAAGGGCCATTTTCATCATCTAGAATATCAGTTTCCCGTTCTGTGGTTGCGGTTTCACCATTGACATGAAATGCAATGTTTAAATGGTGTGACCTTTCCCCTGCTGCTCTCTTCTCTCTGTCCCTGGCAACCATGAGCTCAGTGGTAATGACCTCCAGATGGGGTAGCTCACCCTCCATGTTGTCTACAGTAATGGCTCTCTGGAGCTGGGTGCGCTCCTCAGGGCTGTGGCCACTCTGGAGTCCAGCAACTGGTCCTCCTGTCCACTGTGAGTTACTGGATAGTCCAGAGTCACTGCTCACAGAGGGGGCGCGCTCACTTGGCTGAGCTGGGGGATGGAAAATGGAGAGAATTAGAATAATTGGCTAGCTACTATTGAAGGGTAAAGTGTATCTGATGGTGGTGATCCAACTGAGATGATTTTGGAATGTTACAGTTGACAGAAGTCGATTAACAGAATCAGTTTTATTTCATCACTTATGTTACACATATGTGGAATTTGTCTTGGTGAATGTAGACATGTTTGTTCAGGAAATATGCATTAAAATTATTACTTCAGTTAAAGAACATCTAAATAATTTATTTAAAATTATCACTTTATTTAAAGAGCATCTAAATCATTTATAGAATAAGAATTTGTCTTAATATGTTAGCATGTATGACATGCTAACATATTAAATAGACCAGACAAGTACATAAGATCCTGAAATAAATTAAAAAGGGAAAAATAGGACATAAAAAATAAAGAACGACACAAAAATGTGAAAATTAAATTAAAGATAGACAATAGATACAAAATTGCCAAAGTAAGAAAAGAGCCAAAAAGCAATGATTATGCAAATATGATGTAATATAATGGAACATCTGTACTGTTAAATGTAGATTTACTTGATTTAATTGAAGATCTACTGAACATTTAATGTATTTATACTACTACCACTACATGTTTTCAACACATCTGTTTTAAGAGAACAACTACTACCACTACTACAACTGCTACTACTACTACTAATAATAATGATAATTATTATTATTATTATTATTATTATGATTAGTAGTAGTAGTAGTAGTAGTAGTTGTCATGGTGACAGAAGGATTGCTAATAAACATTGACTAAGATGTCCTTATGTAGTTAAAAAAGCATACTTGGACAAACAATACGAGACATGTTTTCCCCAGATCTCCCTTTTAAGCAGGGTGCACAACTCCGATCCTGGAGGGCTGGTGTCCTCCGCCTTGTTGTCCAAATCACCACAGTTCGGTGATTTACCTGCTCAAACACATCTGATTACACTCATTTGTTAATAGTGGGTGTGTTGGAGTAGGGAAATCTCAAAGCTGTGCTGGACACAGGCCCTCCAGTACCAGAGTTGTGCAGCATTGCTAATCTTAAAACATTAGGTAAACTAAATGATACTTAAAAACAAAGGGAAATTTTCGCTAGTGAAGCTGAGATTCTTGGTGTAAATAGTTCCTCCAGAGACATCACTGATCTGTTACATGTACTAGTATCAGGTCAATCAGTACAAAATGCTGAATGGGATATTGGAAGGAAATAATGAATGAATCTGATTCAGTCCTGTAATAAATCTATCCTGATGTAGCACTCTCTCACTGTGTAACATGATGCTCAACTTAAGTGAAGTGCTTTCACTGGAAATAGCATTTTAAAGCTGAGTAATATTTAAAGGAGAAATACCGGATCACTACCAAAACAACAAAACTTAGTTAAGGTCAAATTAGTCATTTCATTTACTGAATCATTTCCTAAACAACCGTAATTAACGTTGAGTTATTGTGATGTCACAGACTTGCTCTAGGTACTGATGTTTACTCTAAGTAACCATGGTGACATAGGTGTGCTGAAAACCAACTCACACCTGAAGCGAAGCGTCCATACTTGCTGATGTACACTTCCACTCTTACTGTACGGTGTGTCAACGTCTAGACGCGCAATGTCAACATACCAACAAAGGGTTGCTAAAATGTTACTCATGACACACACACCCCAGACAGGCTTTGTCCAGATTTGCCGCGGTGTGACCATCACATGGCCTTGCTTAACCAGCACATCAGTCATGCAGCAGCAGCTGAACACTGATCAGCCCTGATAACGTGTCATCTCGCTCTCTCTCTCTCTCTCTCTCTCTCTCTCTCACACACACACACAACCACACATACACTAACTGCACTGCTCAAACTGGATATCGCGGCATGAAACCACCAGCAGTGTCATGCATGCAGGCCACACAAAAACACACACACAGGCACCCGGTTCAGCTTTTTATCACAAACTCACATCCACGTTTCTCTATCTCACATGTCTAGACTTAAAAAACAGCCCCACCAGCTAAGCTCCTAACTCTCCAGCGAGGGACTACCTATACTACCCTCGCTCAAACAGCATTCCAAACTCAGCAGTTAATCAATCTGTTCCATATGTTGGGCCACACCACACAGCCAGTGCATTCAACTCTGTGAGGGACTTCTAAGAAATGCTACTTTAAAGATTACTAAAAAAGACCACCAAAGAAAGTCTTTATCAGTCTGAATTGAATCAGGTTTGCTGTCTATAAAACCTCTGCTGAAGGTTTTATGCTTCTTTTGATGGGTATTCTACCAGCAACAGCAAACAGGTGATGGAATTTATGTATAAATTGACAGTTGGTTTATGAAGGTTAAATTTTGGGTATCATTTTATTTGAAGGCTGCCTTCCTAAGGACTTCATAACATATGCATAACCATTGAATAATACATTTAAATAGCAATACATTTTTCATTACAGAAAAATCTATGTCAGTAATCACAAGATAATAAATGTTTTATGAATGGATGTCATTATGAGTGCCTTATATCAGTCCTATAAAAGATGCTCTCAAACTAAAATGATGCTAAAATGTGTATGAAAACTGATCTAGGTTGATCTTAGTTCAGCCTTGCCCTTATAAGTTCTATTACTTAGGAATGACACTTCATAACACTTTAGTTTAAGGCCCCTCATGTCAATACAATGTCATTTACTTCACTAAATAATCTACATCACCTTGCAAACACTGCCATAAGCTGTCCATGAATATCATTGCTTTTCAAAGAAAAACATGGATCTCCAAAATAGTAACTTTACAGAAGAAGACAACAACTGTCTTAACTTTTAATGTTATGTAAGTTAATGTACTGAGATTTTGTTCCAAGAAAATTTGGAAAATTACTTCATATAACATAGAAAAATAAAAATTGACAAAAGGGTATTACATATATATATATATATATATATATATATATATATATATATATATATATATATATATATATATGTTACAACACATACATAATGCTTTATTAATGCATCATTCAGTGCTTGTGCATGTGTGCTTATGCAACTACCTTTGTAGCTAGACTTCAAATAAAGTGTTACTAAATTTTGAATTTGCCTAAGAATTGTTGATCTCATGTATGTTTTGTTTGGTGTCACTGGGTTTGAGAAAAATGCTTTTGTATTGAATAAATTATTATAATCATTATTATTACTTCAGAATGGAAGTGAAGCATAGGTGATGTGATGATACAATTCTGTAAAGTTTATCTTCAAAAACCTCACAACTATGTGCGCAGTTAACTGCAAACTCATGACTACAACCCAAAAAATTATTTTTACTGGATCAGGGCGCGTAATGTTGTAAAAGTATGTCTTCACTTAAATCCACATGTACAGCAAAGTTTTGAAATTGTATAAAATATGTGAGACATTCCCTGAACTAAAAAAATAGGGTACTCCCTTTTATCCACTGAACTCAGTCTGGTGTGCATTGTGGTTTTGCCTCAGTGCGCTCTAAATCAGTGGGTATGAGCAGTGAGATAATGCTTTGGCTAGCGTGTGAATTTCTCCATGTGTGCCCAAAAGTGGGTACGTGTGCTGGTGAGGGCTAAACACAAAACATTCATGCAACACCAAAACCCTGTTACACAAAACAGATGCAGCCAGGAGAGACCAGAGAGAGGAAGAGAAGACTTATTAGTGCAGTTCAAAGCTCCACTATGTTGGCCCTAATATCACAGGTTACTTCTAAAAATGTACATAACTGTGAAAATGTTATTTATCAGTCAAAAATTTAATTTTCAGTCAAAAGAGACATTAAGCATGTTAAGTCATTAAGTTATCCATTTTTCACAAGATGTTCCTGGGAAGATTAGATAAGGAATGGAGAAAGTTGAAAGAAAATAAGTAAAAATAGGAGTTTCCAAAACCAGTTAAAAATTTATTAAAAGATACAAAGAAAATTGGACTTCTAACATAAAGGCAAGACCTGGTAGACCACCAAAACTGTCACTATCAGATTTACAGTACTTAAAGTTTCATCTTTAAGGGAGAGGAGAAAATCAAGCTCCGCTCTTGCTTCAGATCTGAAAACACATCACAGGTGTTTTGAATTACTTGGATTGTGAGAAGCAGAAAACGCAACCAACTTCTGAGACTGAACTGTGGAGATATAGAAATATCCCTGCAGATTTATTCAAAAAGAATGGAGGGCAAAGTCACTAATTATAATGTCACTAATTGTGACATTATAAAAATATGATATTATACTTAGTTGCTTCTGCATGATTTTCTGTTAAATATATGTTTTCTGCTTGTTTTTTTATTTAATGCTGAAAAGCAAATAATGTGTACTTGATGCAGTATTTAAGACAATTACGTGGTAGGTATAGTGTAGTGGGTAACACTTCTGCCCTCCATGTTGCAGACTAGGGGTCAATCCCCCACCTGGCCAGGTACCTTATGCTATACCAGTAAGAGTCCTTGGGCAAGACTCCCAACACCACCTTTACCTACTTCTGCAAAATGGTTGAATTGTAAGTTGCTCTTAATAAGAGCATCTGCCAAACAGCATAAATGTATTGCCAGTTTGGCTGGAAATTAACCCTTGTGTGGTCTGTGGAACGCATTTTCATTTATTGTTACTTTAACCTCAGATTTCTTGGCCTTTGCTCATTTTCTATGAAGAACATATCACTGCTGTCAGAAGAAAACCTTGTATCTCCATTTTTTCAGGTTTTGACATAATTTGAAAAAGCCTGTTGCTCTTTACATTATCTGTAAATGACGAGTGGACCGAAAGAAATGGCCTGAAATGACTTGGAAAAAAAAGTCTGGTTCCACTGACTTACATTAAAAGTGAAGGTTTTTCCTGTAAAGTTACCATTTTGGAGAGATGAGGTTTTCTTCTGACAACAGCGATATACACATCACACTGTACAGCCCCTACACATTTATATTACACATGTGGTGTTGGGGTGAACCCGCAGGGAATAACAGTGTGGAGGTGCTG